TGCCATTTGAAGCTCCATTGCTGAAGGTTCGTGATAGTGATTTGAATAACTCATCGGAAATGCGCGCGCAATTCAATTCCAATACGTTTTAACTTTTAAGTGGATCCTAGTTTTAATTAGTAGATCATGTTCTACGTCCCCTAGCATTTCCAATACTTGTATTTTCTTTGTTAAATTAAAATATAATAGAGTTATCCACTAAGATAGCTCTTCACTGCTCATTTCTTATTTCATGTAGTCAAACATTTTAAGGATATAACAAAATGGACACCAAACCTCTCGTACAAAGTTTGTTTCTCAAAATGTTACATTTAAATTCAAAATCTAATTCTTGTATTATCCATTATATATGTAAAATAAGGATATCATGAAAAGACTAGTGTTTGTTGAAACAAGTGTCCTGTACTAGACTAAAATGTTTGTATTGTGTTTTGATCAAAGGAAATAACTAGCGTCAAACAAAGCTCATAATTTTATTAATCATTTGTCAAATAGAAGAATTTTCATATTATGTGTGTTTTGATTTAAACGAATTGTTTTTTTAAACAACAAGCAACGAAATTCAATAAATAAAAAGCTAGCGAGAAGCTTGAGTTACAGACATTTTAGACAAGCATGGTTAGGGTCATTACACCATGTAGACCAACATAAAGTCTCACCTATCCTAGTCCTATTTTTCAACCAAAAGAAAGCTAAAATTACTCCTCACAATCGAAATCATGAGTGCTCTTAACCTTATTTTTAAAAACATTGTCATTTCGGTAGCTTTAAATCACCCATATTATGAGAAGATTGATAACTTTTATTGATACTTCTATAAATAGTCATATATTTCATGTGATATATTTGTGATTTTAGCTACATTTACTCATTAATTGCTATAAATGATACTTAATATGTTCATATTTTGTTTATGTAGAAGTAAAAATATTCTCGAGAAAAAAATGAGCTAAAACGCTAGGCTGGAGGCTAAGAACTAGAAGCAATCATTAAAGAGGAAATTCATGCAAAAGTATTTGCCAAGTTGTGGTCATATTCATGCCACTGCATGGTGACGTGTCAAACTGTAAAAGATTCTCGGATGAATTACATGTATAACACGGAGGATACATGAAGGAATGTCCACCACGACTTTGTGAGCTATAAGTTACGACGTGGTGGCATGATTTTGATGGGTTTTATACAAACAATCATATGTGGACATGCAACACTAGATTCGGATCTATGTTTTCACTATTAGTTATACAAGATTATGAACACAAAAAGAAACATAGCATGCTTCTAGTATTTTCGAAAATCACATAGAATAATCGAATACATACCTCTTATTGTTATATGGTAATAACAACTTGTTTCTTGAATCTCTTTATCTTTGAAAGCAAGTACCACAAGTGTAGTACCTCTAATGGCTCACAAACACCAAGAGCAAATGAAGAAGCAAGAGAGAGAGGGACAAAGAGAGAGAGAGAGAGAGAGAGAGAGAGAGAGGAGATAGAGAGAGAGGAAAAATTCGGCTCTAGGAATTCTAGGAATCAAGTGGCCGAATTTCCAATGTCAAAGGGTCATTTATATAGGTGTAGGAATTAGGGTTTCAGTCATTATCCTTATCTGGTTACTTGGCCACCAAGCACCCCATAAGATAATTCTAGAAGTCTTATCATGGACGAATTCTAAGGCCTTATCCCTTGAATTCGTTCACCCTATCATCTAAGGCTTTCTTGCCCAACTTTGTAACTATCACATAATTATAGGTCAGTCCCCCTAGTTTAGTTAACTTCTTTTGATCACAAAATTAATTCTTAACCAATGTTAACTAAAAAAATATGATTTCTCTTTTAATATATTATTCTTATAATATATTAATAAACCATAATAACCTCTCTCTCTCTCTCTCTCTCTCTCTCTCTATTTCTCCTCCAATCAAGTTGCTTTGGTGAAGCCAACCCAAAAGGACCATGCACAACCTGGTCAAGTACTTACCATATATGGTTACGCGTTTAAACACTAATCCAACAGTCTCCCACTTGGATAAGTCTAGTAACTATAAATGCAAGTACAATCCGATTAGAAATCGTAGCTCTCAAAGACGTTATCGAACTCTGATCTTATCAATAGCCTGTCCTTTAGATAAGAGATCGTATAATCCTCTATTCTAGATATCGTGTGGACAAACACATAGAACATAGTCATACTTATTATCAAGCAATATGTTTCTTGATCTCATATTCGTTTGACATAGAATTTAATTGAACACATCAATCCAGTCCTAGCCGGGCCCGGCACATAAGTCAAACCAAATCATCGAGGGGCCCTGATATCGCTTTTACCCTCTTAGGATAAAAGGAACAGATAAATTTCGACTTATATGCATTTACTATTTACTAATCAAATCATACACAACAATGTGTTTTATAACATCAAGTGTGACATCCCTAATTTCACGGCCAGAAAAGACCGATTTGTTTATGCTTTGTTTTATAAAATCAGAGTAATCTTTTGATTAAAAGAATTACGGAATTTGTTCCCAAAATAAAATATGATAACCATTTATCAAAACATTTCTCGAAAAGAATGTATTTTCATTAAATAATAAAACCTTGGGATGTCATGTTCGATACAGACCAAAAGCATAAACAATACAAAATAAATCTTACAACAGTTATTTATGACTACTGATCTATAATCCAAAATCTCTCGTCAAGTCCACCAACTTATACTCTTGTGCCATTACCTGTAATGAAAAGAAAACTGAGTGGGTCAGGCTTGGGAGCCTGGTGAGCATATAGGGTTTTCAACCCACAATAATATAATTATTATATGTAATCAGCAAACAATCAAACCAATTACCCATCCCCATTATCTTCTTAAGGTTTTACCCTAAGAACCAACTATCCTTCATTCATTTATTCGTAAGGAATTTGGCACGAATTCCATTGCTGCCAAAGCTTATTTATTAAGTACTAAATCCATAGTTATCTGGCGCTAACTCCATAGTCACCAAGGTTCACTTAACAAGCGCTAACTCCATAGTCGCCAAGGTTTACTCAACAAGCGCTAACTCCATAGTCGCCAAAGTTTACTCAACGTGCGCTAACTCCATAGTCGCCAAGGTTTACTCAACGTGCGCTAACTCCATAGTCGCCAAGGTTTATACAATAGGCGCTAACTCCATAGTCACCAACTATTCCATCTACCTATGTTCTACCCAACAATTTTGTAAATATAAATACTTACACAATTTAAATCATTTAACACATGTATAAAACTCCAATTTCCATGCCCATCTCAAATAGACAAATGACATATAAACACATAGCATGTATTTCATAGCAAATACATCATATTTATGTGTTAGAAGAAAGTAACTACACACTCACACATATAAACAACAATAAACTTAATACACTCAAACCATACTTGTATTATTATCATGTTTATGAAAGGTAGTATGCACTCACTTGATCAGAAGATGATCGGACAGCACTACGACTTGCAGAAGTAGTATTCTTCGGTAGATCTGGAAGATCTCCGCAAAAATCGAACTTCTCGCGGGCAGAGCTTCGGCTCGGAAACTCTTTTCTTCTCGGGATCTTCGGTGCTTCGGGACTTGCTTCGGGTCTCGGGGTTGATATCGGGGCTTAGGGGGGTTAAAATAGGGCTTAGAGGGTGTATCGGGAGTGGGAGAGAAGGGATGGAGCAACCATAGTCGGCTGGCCCTTCAAATCTATTTATAGGGCAAATTTGGCCCTTGCCACGTCGTGGGATCCTTTTGCCACGTCGTGGGCTTGATCGTCACTACATGCGTCATCCCAAGTTGCATCTGGGGGACTCCCGGAGCTGTCAGGAGACTTGCCACGTCGTGGTCTCTGACAGTTTTGGGGTTTCGCGCCCCGAACTTCAGAAATTCATAACTTTCGCATACGAACTCTGTTTTCGACGTTCTTTATATCGACGCGAAGGTGAGATTATGATCTACAACTCTCGTTTAGACTCCATTGGATAATTTTGACTTTATTTTTAATATATTATAAGTATATTACTTATATATTATCTATAGTAGGCCGGGACAGGAAAACTCCGTTCGAAATTCATAATTCCTTCATTTGAACTCTGTTTTCGTCTGTCTTTTTATCGTTGGACTACTATCGAAGAAATCTTCGACTCTCGTTTAGATCACTAAGGATGGATACCTATCTACCTTAAATTCACTATTTACGTCGCACTGGTTCATGCTAGGTCGTGTCGGTTCTGTCGCGAAACTTCGACAGGTCATAACTTCTTTGTTATAACTCGGATTTTGGCGTTCTTTATATGCACGGAAACCTTGTGACATATACTACAACTTGGTTAAGATTAATACTTATAAATAATCTTCCATCAAAAAGTCATTTTTGATGCTTATCGTCTCTAAATTGACTAGCCCAGATCTACAGGCGTTACAATTATCTCCCCCTTAGGATGATTATGTCCCGGAATCATCAACGAAATAGGATTTGTATACTGACTCCATAAGTTATCTCTCCATTATAAGTAATAACCTTGATGCTCAAC